CCCCCCCCGGGCCCCCTTATCCCCATATCCATATCCCGCGTTTCCAGCCACGACCACGACCACGACCACGACCACGACCACGACCACGTTTCCAAAAAAGGGCAAAAAAAAAGGCAAAGTCAAGTCAAGTCAAGCAAAGTAGGTAGGTAATAGGTAATAGGTAATAGGTGTAGGTGTAGGTCTGGCCGAAAGGTTATTTGATTTTATTCATCATTTTATTCATCATTTTATTCATTCTTCATGATTCATTCTTCATTATTCATTGACCTGACCTGACCTGACCTGACCTGACCTACTTACTTACTTTACTTAGTTACTTACTTTACTTAGTTACTTTACTGACTTGTTGGTATATATAATTCATCCATTCACTGATTTGTCGAATTATTATTGTTATTATTGTTATTGTTATCATTATTGTTATTATTACTGTTACTTGCATGCTCATTTTATAATCTCATGTTCATGTTCATGTTCATGTCATGTACATGTTCATGTTGATTGATTGATTGATTGATTGATTGACTGATTGATTGATTGATTGATTGATTTAAAAATAACCACCTACTAGTCAGTTTCCAACCCGTCCGCCCTCGGTCTTAATCCATCGTTTCAACAATGCCATGTTCGTTTCAAATCTCCAACTCGTCCATCGAGTCATCGAGTCATCGAGTCATGGAAATGTGTTTCTTTTTTTACCTCATGCTGTTTTCCTTCCTTCTTTCCTTCCTTCCTTCATTCTTGATTCAAAGGTACTGCCAATCAAAGACTAAAAACTCACAAAAATCACCATGTGGCATGCATAATTACACAATAATTCATCTATCCAGTATTAACCTCGGTGTATATAAATATACACACACACAACCCAGTGCACAAACCACGTGCAAGTCCTTCCAAACCACAATATCCCATCCGTCCACACTCTTACGTGCAGACCATGTCAATAACAACCACAGTAAATGTCGCTACCCGAGCTACTCCCTCGTGCATACAAAGGGGGGATACAAAAATATTAGAAAAAATCCTCGCAAAAAGTGAATGTAAAAGTGGATCCCATGAGACAGGTCATAGGGGAAGCCTATGTTACAACATTAGCCTCATCAATATGTCCCATCAATCATGCCCGACCCCATGCCCCGAAGAGCCCTGCGCCATGCCACCTAGTGTGCCTGTCGCCCATCCTTTTATTCGACCAACAAAGCCGACAAAGCCAAGAATCCCAAACCAACCATGAACTCCAGAAACATGCATGTGCAATGATCCAAGTCACATACAACCTAGTAATTGCAGAGGCCTTTGTTTCCATAGGAAAACTTTTATGAATCCCGATCAAGTGGTGGCCCGCCCGAGAAAGAAAACGAGAGAGAGACCAGATGGCACTCGTCAAGAGATGCCCATCACGGTGTAAATATTAATGCGTGTACAAGATGCCAGTCGCAAAAAAGGCCTGGGCTTTTCGCCAAGGGAGCAGCCGTCGTCGAATCGAAGTAAGCAAGAGAAAAGGGCATGCCGTCCTGAGAACCGAGCCTCGGGACGGCTAGTCCTCATTGGTGTTCTCCTGGGCGTCACGCTGCTCCTTCTGTGGAGCCCGTCTCCGGGCATTGATGAACCAATTCGACACCTGTAAACGTCAGTATTACAAACGGCGTTTTCATCTCACGACTTACTTGGTTCAGCGTGAGCTGCGTCTGCTGGCACAATTGCATCTTTTCGTCTTCCGTAGGGTAGGGAGATTCGCGGTGGGCGGCGAACCACGCCTTGAGAATTCCCGTCGCCTCCTTGGGAAGATTTCCTCGGCGCTTTCGGTTGTAGGCATTGGGGTCGACACCCAGGGTAGACTGGAAAGTGAAGTTGTATTGATTCGGGTTCTGCGCGTATGGATCAAAAGGAGCGTGAGGTGGTCCTGCATATAGCGGACGCCCGTAGTATGTATCTGGCATAGGGGGCCTATCGTACGGGTGGCCGTGTGAAGGTTGCTGAGGCTCTACATAGTAGCTAGGCCGGTGATCATATGGGGTAGCATGCGCTGTCTGGTGGTAGCCGGCCACCACCGTGCCATACGGAGAGGGTCCCATGTGTCCGTGAGGAACAGGTGAAGACTGGTGACGTGCGTGTGCCGCGGGATTCATGGGCGGGGGCGGGTACGGGAGACTCGGGCGGTGGTGGTGGCTTGGGGCCGTTGGATGCACCGATGACGATGAACGGGATGAATGATGGCCTCGTGGTGAGCTGAACCCCGAAGAGAGCGCAGGGTCAATGGTGCTGGCACGGCGAGAGTCGTACGAGGGCTGGTATTCCGACGCATTCGACGATCGGTGGTGGTGGTGGATATCGAGCACCGAGTCGGGTCGCCTGCGCTTGACATCGGACCAAGCTACTTCTTCGAATTGGGGTACGGAAGCCACGGGCGAGCTCTCCATCGATGAACCGTTCCTCCGTGAAGGCGTTCGTGGCGGCGAGGGTTCGCGGACGTTTTGCAGGAGCTGGAATTTGGTCAGTGTCTTGTACCTTGTGTGTGTGATTAGACTCGAGACTGACCTGCTGGAACGAGGGCAGCGCATTCTGGGCAGCGCGCTGCTCACCAGGCTGGAACGGGGGCGAGTTGCGCATGTGGTGGTGCTGTTTGATCTTGTCAACATCCGTGATTCGCATTCCCAGGCTGTTTATACGGGCACGGCGGCGGAGATCCCAGGCGGCCCTTGCGGGTACTGGGAAGTCTAGGGATGCTAGGGAGTCAAGGGGCTCTGGAGGCGGGGAGTGGGCGTAGTGGTGATCGAATTGGAAGTAGAATTCGGGTGAGGCGGAGGAGGAGGTGTCGGTGTTGTTGATGGTGTGGGAGGGGGAGTAGGGGGAGTAGGGGGGGTAGGAGAAGGAGTAGGGAGTGGAAAGTGAATAGGAGGAGGAGGAGGAGGAGGAGGCGGAGGAGGAGGAGGAGGAGCGGATTAACAACTGGAGAGAGAAAAGAAGAAAGGATTGAACATGGAAGAATAAAAGTTGGA